AATATGTGCCAATTTGTGGTAGCCATGTGGATTTCATTACCCTAATTTACGAAAAGTTCGAAAAGTATAAAAGATTTTATTAAAAGAAAAATCAAATATCATCATCGATTTCCTTCTCGTTTCTATACTCTTATGTAAATTACATATTCAATTAAACATTTAGTATAACATTAGAATTGCGTAAGCAATTTGTCATGTGATATGTAACCATTTGTATGTATGGGAAAAACTGAAACATATGACAATTTGCTTTCTAATTAACTTCAAGTTATAGTAATGAGCCAAAAATCGAAAATGAATTTTTTTGCATATTTTCACGTTTCAGAGGATCCTGAACATTTTGGCATACCTCAGAAAAAATGGATGTGTGTGTGTGTTTCGTGTCTGCATTTTTTTGTTCACGTTTTTGGGCGCACGGATCAACCGATTTGAATGGTTCAATAAACATTCGATTCCTATTGATAGGGAAATGTGCTGATTAGTTTTTGGCAAAGGCAGGTCCAGCCGTTATGGAGATACGAAGCAAAGAGTGCAGAAAATAGAAATTGAGTTTTTGAGAGAAATGAGCATCCGAATTGAATGATTAAAAAAAATTTCTGCTTGTTTTGAGCAAATAATTGCTTTTGGGGGAAAAAAATTGTTTAATTTTTTTTCCAAAATTTTTTTTTCGAAATTTTTTGTTTAATTTTTTTCAAATTTATTTTTCAGATTTTTTTTGGCATATCGAAAATAATTCAAATTTTAATTGAAAGGTTGAAGTTCTAAAGCTCACTTACATACTTTAAATAAATAATTATAATACAGTTCTGAAATTCTACCTTGCATCCTGGATTTTTCTACAAACGAGATTTGTCCTGGATTCAGACTTTTTGTTGCGGTTTGTTCCAATTATTAGAGTTATTTTTAGAAAATATGAACCGAAAAGTCTGTACATATCAAATAACACGATCTGAAATAGACACATCATGAATGATATTATTTACTACGGTTAATAATAATGAATATATTGGGTAGAGCGGGACTTAAAGATCCGCGGGTAAAATGGTCCATCATCCTCTTGAAAACAACATTGAAAACCCCTAAATTTTTGCGACGTCTCTATCAGGAGATAACCTAAAATGTGTCAATATTCATACTAAATTTTTTAAGCAGTTTTTTTGGTTTTGAGCTTATGTATTTACTTTATGATTCCTGAACATAATTTTTATGTATACGAGGTCTGTTCAAAAAGTACCCGGAATTTTCGTTTTTTCAAAAAAATATTTATTTATTCGTCTACATTAATGTGGTCCCCTTCAAAGTAGTCCCCCCCAGATATAATACACTTATGCCAGCGTTTTTTCCAATTTTCGAAGCACCCTTGATATTCACTTTTTGATATGTCCTTGAGCACTCTCAGCGATTTTCTTCAATCGAGGAAAACCGCCGTCCTTTCATTGGTCTCTTCAACTTTGGGAATAGGAAAAAGTCACACGGAGCCATATCTGGTGAATTTTTGCACTTTGCAACACTTTATTTCATTTTTACGCAAAATTTAATACAAATTCTTTGACTTTTCAATTCTTCCATTGTAAAAATCGCCGAGCTCAGAAAACACGTCGAACCTTAGCGACTACCACAGACAAAGTAAACAGTGAATATAGCTGAAAATTTCATCATACTTTAGGGGCATGTATACCAACACAATAAAAAAAAAATTTTGACAATCAGACACTCCAGACCCGCGAAATTTAATTATTAGTAATTCCGGGTACTTTTTGAACACACCTCGTACATTATTTAATTGTTTTATTAAATGTATTTTTATTTATAAGTTAGATTCAACAGCTTTATTGTATTATCTCTAAAAGAGCTTACATGTGGGTAGGGTAAAAATGACTAACCAAACCTTTACATTGGCAAAAATGTAAACAAGAAGAAATAGTAAATAAAAAAGGAAATTAAGTTAAAAAAACAATTAATAGTTGTTCATCCACTGCTAATGAACATTATTTTCGAAATCAGTGTTAGGTTTATATATTGTGAAGTGTTTGTAAAAAATGTTTTCATAAAATTTCTATTTTATATCGGTTAAATAATATACCTTATATTTCATAAAATCTCTTAAAATGAAAGAGACGTTGGATCTGTTTGCCCCCTGGCTGTCTATCTTTCCCCGTCCATGAGGAAAAAAGGTACAGATGACCAATTTAAAAAAAAATAGTAAAGGAAGATATTTTTATAATTAGGAGTTACTTTGGAATTTCACTGAAAATAGATAGTTGTTTGTTTGATACATGTTATCATGTGTTGCTAAGTAGTTCATTTAGTTTAGGCAGCGTAGTTACTGAAAGTCAAATTGGTTGTGCCCCGTCCTATCCTATATATACATATATTACACTTCCGTTTTTCAAATCCTATTTCTTTCTCCTGCAAGTCCTTTACCATCTCCATCCTTCTTAGCCCAGTCTCTTTCGCATAAGAAGCACTCTTTTTGCTACATTAGTCTAAACCGATTTTGTTTTCTTTCAGTATCGTGTCCAGTAAGGATCTATCTTTGTCCATTCTACGAAGTAGAAAACGATTTCTTTATTTGTAATTTTGGCGGTCGGTTTAATCTTTTCATTTCGCTCCACCATTACATTCAGTTAATCCGCCTATCAAAAACAAAACATATTTAATGAACCGATATGATCAATGAAAACAATCAAATGCGTTTATTGACTTGTTTTATAATATTACCTTCCGATAATATTTAATTTATGCTCAAATGATGTATGAACTGTTTCAACTATTACTAATTATGCTTTTAATTACACATAAATGCATGGGGATCAAAGGGTTTATTGAGAGTAATTGATAATTCCGTTATGTAAGCGAGCTTTGAATATATTGTTGATACAATGCAAAGCATTTTTGATTTATTATCAAGTTATATATAAATGAGATGCGATAATGTATCGAAAACAATTAAAAGCTACGCCTGTACAATCGTATGCATATGTATGACTTATTGATAATTATTAATTCGTTGACATGACGTGTTTGCAAAATGATATTATACGTAAATTTCATGTTTTGTCGCTCAAAGGATCATTGATATTCCTCCTAAAATATTTTGAATTTTATTATTTATTCATTCAACATTATTATATAATATTAGAAATAATAAAACGGCATAAAAATAATATATAAACTTTACGTACTAAATCCAGTTTTGGCTTCACTTTGTTTCTCTCACGAAATCATCAGCCGCAGTTCGGTCAAACGTTATTAAAATCTTAATGAGAATGAGAGATCAATAAAATGAGGAGTTCAATCAATTTCACAGTTGAAATACGATCACTAGATAATAGGTATGGGTTATATATGTGTACATTCATGCATACATATGTATAGTTTGTTCTACAAACAAAAAATAAAGGTATACAATTTTTGAACAAATTAAAATTGGAAGTCTGCAAGCAAATAAGATTAGTAAAAATTGACTTTTTTGATACATTTTAAAAAATTGTAACACATTTCTTTCAATGTAGGGGGAAGTCATGTAACGCGGGACGGCACCTAACGCCGGACACTCTATCTAACACGTATTATTAAGCGAGTAAAAATGTTTTTATTACAAAATTTGTAAGTAGATGGTAAAAGATGTATAACCAGCCAGCACTAACGGGAAATAAACGGCAATGTTTGAAAATCCATAACGAAAGTGTTTTTTTCCGGCTGAATAATGCAGTTATCATTTTGTAAAATTCTTTTTTAAAAACGGCAAAAAAATAACTTCTACAATTAGCTGGGAGTTTTATTGAACATAGTCAGATATTTGTTTGCTGGTTATGTGTTATTTGTTGTGATATAATTGATTTGATTTTCACAATACATTTGCTCAAATTCAAACTGGACCTTTGTACCCTACCTTACTCTACTGCTTTTTTTTAAATTGATTAAAGCTTTTATAAAAATAGTTTAGTTCAGGCATACCACTATTTAAAAAACTGGGTAATTGAAAATTGCAAAATTATTAAATCTTAACTTTTCGGTTTACAACGACATTATATTCAGTTGAGAAAAAAGAAATTTACTTGAAAAACTATCTATAAAATATTATACGATTCAAACCATTAATGTTTTCAGTTTTTAACTTTAACAGCTGTACACATAGTTTCTAATTTTTATTTATTTATTTTTTAACACCCTTGTTAATAACATATATACAGTTTAACTCTATCAAAACTATTGTAATTTGAATTTAAACCGAATCGTATGGATCTAATACATTTGTAATTTTTTATTACCCTCTTTCTTAATAAGTATAATGTCTGATTTAAGTTCAGAAAAATAATGACTCATTTCTCATAAGCTTTTTATTATTATAAGTAATATATACAATTCATACTATTTATGAATCATTGTTGGAAGTTAAATATTCGGAGTAGATGAATTAACAACTGAATTAACACAAATAATCATATAGGTTAGCTTGTAATACAAAAAATGACTAAATCGAAAATATCGAGGATGTTTAATAAATTATGATATTCATTTTATTTATTCATGATTTTATTTCGTAGTACTATGGTAAGTGCCTGGCTTCTTACTAAAATTGTGAAGTCTTAGTACAACGCCACTTAATTAACCAAACCAACTAGCTTGCTTTTTTTCAAGAAGCAATTATTATATCCACTTTTATGAAAAATAGGTCTTATATTTAATAGGTCTTTCCGACATTGTCGTATTTAACTAAATATATATATCATCGCTCTTAGAACAATTTTAGTTAAAAATATATATCAAATATAAGTAAAGCAACCTATGGTTTGCTTCTTGAAAAAAGACGCGGTGCTGAGAATATCTTAACAATAGATCTCTTGAATTCTCACTTAAAACTCTTAAGTGCTGATTGTTATGCAAAAAACATGAAAAATATCAATACATTTTTATATTCTATTCTATGTTTAAAATATTGTGACATTTAAATTTTATCGTATACCAACGAATTTATCAAATTGTATTTTTTTCAGTGGTCGAGATCAAATGCTCATCAAGTTGCTTTGAAGAACTTGGACATCCAGGCGTCTGGTCTCTACTCTTGTGAAGTATCTCTCGAAACTCCCATCTACACAAAAGCATCCAGCGACCATGAACTGACTGTTATTAGTAAGTTAATAATATTCATAAATATTCTGAAATGGTTAATAATACATTATCCATTAAAAAAATAATCAACATTTGAATATTTTTTTATACGCGTAGACATTGAAAAAATCATGCGCTATATATGAATATAATAAATCGAACAATTAAAAAAGCATTCCGCTCAAACGTATGGAATAATTATTTCCGATGATTTTGTAATTAATTTCCAATTACTTTTTGATATTTAGTAGCATATTTCAATACGGTCAATGGTTTTTGACAATTGTATTGCCTAATTTGCAGTATTTTAATAAATGATTTCACATTTATAAACTATGCAAATTATATATAATAACGTAATTTTCATTACTAATTACATGTGCATCGTAATTATAAGCCGCTACATTATATTTTTATTAATAGACAACAAGTTTATTTATTTTCATATCACAAGTATTGTACTATTCTGTAAACTGTAATATTTCAAATATTTTCATTTTAACAACGTGTATGCAAATTTTTTACTTCATTCATTTATAAATTGATAATTGGAATTTAATAATTGATATTTTGCATAAAATGTTGACAAGAAAATGAACTTACGTGCAGCTGTTTTGCTTTTTGAATTAGAATATTAAAAGTTTGAATATAGAGCTTAAAAACAAGTTTATTTTAGATTTCTAGTTCAACTTTATTTTTACCATAAATTTGGTATATAATTTAGGTTTTTCTTTTAAATTGTTCTACGAATCAAGTTGAGGTTTTGTTTTCATGAATGTAAAATTTGCATTTCACTCACGTGTTCTTGGAAACGTAGAAAATAGAAAAACCGTGTGATGGAAATCAATGAGGATTTACATTGATAATTTTTGTTTAAATTATTCGGCCCGTTCTTTGTAATTATCAATTAACATCAAAGAGTTTTAGTCTAGTTTTCTAAAAAAATGCTGCACATACGTGTATTTTACAAATCTAAAAAGCGCTCGAAATATCAGTTGAAATCTAGTTTTATAGTTGTATATATAAGGTAAATAAAAAGGTCCACTACCACATATCTCAAATACAAGTAAATTTAAGAATTCTTTACCAAAAATATTTAGAAAAAGTAGAAGGACGAAGTTGTATAACGTGTGTGTTTGTGTGTGTGTTATTATTTATTCATTTATTCAAATTTATACACATACTTCACATTTGTATCATTTATATAAACCTAAACCTACTTTTTCATACTGCACCTATATTTCCCTACATATTTCATTCTATTATTTTTTATATAATTGTCGTTTTTATTATAACACGCGCGTGACTTCAACGAATGATTTTGATGAAATATTCTTAGTTATAATGATATTGAAAAAAATATAATGATGCTGAAAAAATATAATGATATTGAAAAAATGTAATCAAATGTTGCTAACAAAACAAACTTACACTTGGACCTTATTTTGTTCTCATTGTTTTGTTATATCTTCATAAAATGGTATATACATGAAAAATATATGTGATAACTACATATTTCATTCGTGAGATATAGCCCTGGTAAATTTATATATTATACACATTCAATTACATAACATTATTGCACCTGAATAAACCGTAATAACATTTTCCTTACATACGTAAACTCTCTTACGGTACCATTTAAACTCGAAATACGAAAGTAATGGAGCCATAAAATCTGAAAGTTTGTTTCAAAATTTCTCCGAAACTGTTTTTAAGTGCTTGTCTTTTTACAACGTCGTAAATTACCAAACTCATTTCCTATTTTCCTGAAGAGTTTTTCATTTAAACTTCACTCTTTTCGCGAAAGATATACGCGCAATTTATCATAATATACGACAAGGCTAATTTTGAAATATGTTTTTCTGTGAATTTTTGGAAAGAAAAACGAGAAACTCATACGTTCGTCAGATTTATTTTATATGTGCTGGAACATAAATAACAAGTTTTAAATACAATCCAATTACAATGTCGCAGAGAATAACGGAAATATTATTATGGCTATTAGTTCTATTCTTTATAAAAAAATTTAAGATTGAACTCGTGAAGTTAAACATTTTTAAGGAATGTAGTTGCTATAATATAAAATAGAGTCCAATCGGAAGATGTAGGTTCATAAAATTGGAAATTTTAATTAGCAAAAGTTTATAAAAGTGTGAGAGATTTTGCATTGCCATTTTACACATCAGGGCCCGAAATGGGTTATTTTTAATTGGAAACATAGTTTTGATCTATATTTTCTAGTAAAAATAGACATCGCTGCTGTTTGATGTCAGGTTGTCCGAAGCGGAGTTCAAGCTAATTACAAAATTCGAAATTTTATTGCAAATTTTTCACAAATCTGCATTTCATAATAAAATAACCAATCGAAAAAATTTTCAGTCAGTGAGTGTTTTTTACTGGATTTCAATTCATATTTTTCTGACTTTATAATAAGGCATGAATTTAACTTAAAAAAAAAAACAGTTTATTTTTATTAAGGGTTTTCCACCTCTTCCATTTTTCCGATGCGCACAAACCGTACATAGTTGATAAATGGTTTGCATAAAGAGTATTTTTTGCAAAGAAATAGAGAGATAGAATATTAGAATCTAAAAACCAACAGTTTTTGATAGTAAACTAGGTTTCATACAAATTTGCGGCAAAACTGCCAAACTTTTCAGTCTCTAATATATTTTTTTGAATCTTAGTCAATTCGCTGGGCATTATGTGGTATCATAACAATATATTTTAAAACTGGATTATCGGGATTTGCTTCGTAATTCAAAAATCACTGAATTAACGAAAAGCGCAGTAGGTATTAAATTATTATATATAATTTTTGAAACTTGAAATGTGCAAATTCAATATATATATAATCAGTTTCAGATAAGGTTGGTACTTAAGACTATTAAGTGACATTTATATGTGGCGTGCTTTGCAGTGTGTAAACTATTCATATATTTTTTGTTATCTGCCTCTTCCATTTATATGTGTACCACATTTGCAATCAGATAGTCATTTTCATACTAAACATTTTATACTAGAAATATTTTTGAAGTAAAACTTCTTTAGGCGCGACTAGGGTGTAAATCCGTACAAATGCAACGGAAGTGCGTCACGGCCGAGTCAAGTGCCAATGATTCGTCATTCACTCTCGATGATATTATTTCTATACGAGTCGATTGTGATTAGTCGTCGTGTATGTGAATAGAGTTCTGTCGTTGTATGCGTACCGGCATCAACAAGGAAGTAGGCATAGATAAATAAACATTTTAAAGTTACATCGTAGTACAAATCTTGATTTAATTAAAAATTATTTCTATATTATTCGTAGTTCTTACAAATCTTTGAAGTGATTAAAATGGAAAATATTTTTTAGGCAAGACAGATATTACAGCTGTTCAAAGAATGAGATTATATCGCCAGCGAAAAAGTAAAAAAATACAAGCAGTCAATGAATGTATGTAAATTTTAATTACATGAAGTTCTTCAAGCACAGTTACGAATACTATAGAATACAACGAATATTATAGAATTTATTAATCATTAATTTCTCTAATGAAGGTTTATTTCTAAATGCTAATTACAATGACAAACCAATCATGTCATATTTGAAGTATGACTTTAATTACATTATTGTTTTTAAATATTATACATACAGGGTGCGCCATTTAGACCTGCGGTATTTCAAAGTTGAATAACTCTGTCGGTAATTATCAGATTTTGACAAATGAACAAGATTTATTTAGGATATTTCATGCCATTTATTTCAAACCAGGTTTAGAATACAACGTCGATTAAATGACCACCTTCATTTGATACACAAAAAGCAGCTCTTTTTCGTGCATTCTGCATAACATTGGCCAGCATTTCAGGCGTTATAGCAGCTATTTCGGCCTGTATGTTACCTTTTAATTCGTCGATTGTCTTCGGCTTGCTGGCATAAACTTTGCTTTTTGAATAGCCCCAAAGAAAAAAGTCAGGTACGGTTAAATCTGAAGAACGAGGCGGCCACTCCAAATCACCATTTTTCGACACAACGTCTCCCGGGAACTTGCGCTGCAAAAACTGCATCGTAGCAACTGCGGTGTGGCAAGGTGCGCCGTCTTGTTGAAAATAAAAGTTAGTGAGGCCTTTTTCACGCATTTGCGGACACACAAAGTGCGCCAACATCCAACGATAACGTGCGCCGTCGATGGTTTCTCCAACTTTGAAAATAAAATGGTCCGATGATGGTTTTGGAGCACACTCCAGCCTAAACAGTAATTTTTTGATCGTGCAGTGGTGTTTCATGAATCACGTGTGGGTTTTCTGTTCCCCAAATCCGAAAGTTTTGTTTTCAATGTAAAGCGTTACGATTTCAGCGCGTTCTTTCGGTGTGTATTGACTCATGTCTAAAATGGCACTAAATGACGTTTCAGAATCATGCTCATTTGTCAAAATCTGATAATTACCGACAGAGTTATTCAACTTTGAAATACCGCAGGTCTAAATGGCGCACCCTGTATTTTTAATGCTATTTATATAAATGTGTATAATGGTTGAAACTGATAAATGTGTCCATGACTAGTGTTACCATATTACTAATAAACATTATTCAAAATTGTTATATGATGTATTTATTTTTACTTAAGTTAAATTTGCTACTGTGTACAGTAGCACATAAGTTTACCTTCAATCGCGTGTGATCCTTACGCGCACTTTTTTATGGAAAACAAGGCTTGGCGGGTCAGCTAGTATATTTATATAAGCAATGATTTTTTTCCTTTCAGTACCGCAGTCGGCCGCTCCGCGAATCACATTCGGCGCCCGTGAGTACACAGTGGGCGAATTGCTGGAAGCCAACTGCACGTCGGTGCCGGCCCACCCGCCTCCGCATATCACGTGGCTGATCAATGGCAAAAAGGTAATAAAATCACATAGTTATCTCCTAGGGTTATATTTCTCTTTGGTGTACCCAATAAATTACGACTAAATATTCATTTGCATTCTGTAGAAGTGGGTATAATCTGTCTTGAATTTAACTAGCACAACTGTGAAACACTTTTATTACTTTGGTTTCGCTTCTCACAAATAATTTTAACCACTAATTTTTAAAATGCTGCGTATGAATTAAAATTCAACTTGCGACTTTTTGCCTTTTGCTAAATTGTATTTTATGATAATTGTAATAATTGATATAAGTCAATCAATCAAATCAATTTGATTTATTAATATATTAGTACATATAAGTCCAAGTTTGCCAATTTATAATTCTTATAAAGGGTGGCCCATTTAAAAATTGGAGTTTAATTTTGCTATAAAATGAAAACGGCTCAATATTTTTTAATGATTGAACATTTATTTAATAGGTTGATTCATGAAATTTATTAATGAAAAATAATTTCGGTCAAATGACCACCACGGCTGTCTTAGCAGTAGCCCATTCGATCCACCCAATTTTTGAGTACATTTTCGATTGTTTCGGGCATTATCTCAGCAATAGCAGCTTGAATTTTGGTCTTGAGGTCTTGAATTGTTTCTGGATTGTTGGCATAACATTTATTTTTCACCGCTCCCCAAAGATAATAATCCAATGGCGTCAAATCGCAGCTTCTTGGTGGCCAATTGACATTTGACAGCATTTTTGCTGATTATTCGATTTTCGAAAATGCGGCGTAAAACATCGATTGTGGCGTGTGCTGTATGACTTGTTGCACCGTCCTGTTGGAACCAAGTATCGTCCAATTTTCAGCTGCAATTTCTTCACAGAACCAATTGTTCAACATTGCGCGGTAGTGATCGCCATTGACGGTTACGGCGGCTCCTTCTTCATTTTCGAAGAAAAATGGACCGACGATGCCACAAATAGCGTCCCATTTCGTAAATGCCAAACTTTCAAATATGAGTCACATCAATGAGATTGTTTGACGTTTTTAAAGTCAAATAATCGGTAGTTCAAATTCCAAACACTAGTATGGACCACCTTATAATATATAATATATTGTGCCATGGTACACATTGTGACGATGAAGTAAACGATATTTCTTAAATTAGTTATATTTTTATTTAATAAGCATTATTTATTACAATTAGAAACTATATTTTCAAAAATTTGATTAAATTTTCGACGATTTTGCCCGACTGGCACGACAGAATTCTTTGGATCGAGTCCTGGCACTGTCTATATAATAGTAAATTGTAATACCGAATATGAAAACATGGTATTGGAAATTGAATTTGATTGGAGTTAACTAATATTGAGAGTGCTAAATATGCTAATTCATTGGTTTCCAACTTTTTCGCACCGTGCCCCCTCCTCTAATAAAAAAAATTGTTGCGCCCCCTTAATTTTTGCAACTGATATTATAAGACAAAATTCACATGCAATATTATGTAACAATATGCATAAAAACTAATTATTTTTTGTTTATTTGTTAACACCAATTTTAAAATTTTGTTTTTTTTTCGAAAATAGTATTCTAGAAACAGATGTACGCGCTCCCCTGATGGGGGGACAGGTTGTAAACCCCTGTAGCTAATTTGTTAAAATCTAAAAAGTGTGTGAAAACGAAGTTAAATAGTTTCGGATATCCATATAAGATATGGAAAACATGTGTAATATTAAGTAAAGACTATGTTCAAATTAAAATATAAAAATTCAATAAAAAAATATATATGTTAATAATCAATACTCTTCTGATATTATGATGAAATTTTGCACGGTGATACAGTTTATAGACAAACCGAACACCTTAAAATATTGAACTATGAGAAGTGGTTATATCAATTTTGGTTCGTAAAATATATGAAATAAGTTAATAATTATAAATGTGTATCTATTCAAATATTAAATAAGTTAAAAAAATAAATTATAAGCTGACGGAATTTGAACTCGATCATTTTAACTGTCTTATCTATGAATCCGAATATATTACATGCGGTTTAATTTTTGCATCTTTAATTAGTTTTTATAATCAAACCACCATTAATATTTTACGGTGTTTGACTATAAACTCTATCACCCTGTGAAGTTTCATCAAAATCCCAGAAGAGTAAACTTGAGGTTGTCCTTGTTAGATTAATAAAACTTAAACTAATAAAATTTACTTAAATTAATAAAATATTTGTTATAATAATCAGCAGCTAGTTTTTCGATAAGAGATTACAAATAAAAATAAAAAAGAACTTAAAAATAATTTGTTATTCACCCATTTTAAAATTCTTTGAATTTTTCACTTTTTTCAAAGGTGGACGAAAAAATGACCCGGACCTTCCCACAGCCCATATCTCTTGGTCACGTCGGAAAGGCGGGAACTCCATTGCGACACCACAATCCGCCGACGTCACCTCCTGCTCCGATGTACGATATTGCTCCACATTAGCGAAGCAGTTCGGCTATGGATATACGCTCACAATGACGCTGATCCACTAAGATACCATGGCGAGAAGGGTGTGTTGTACACCCATACACAACATCACAGGTAAGCAAAATTTTATTTGAATTTTTTATTAGTTTTCAATTATTAATCTCATACGAATATGCCAATAGTATGTATAAACATAGGGATAAGGTTATTCCATTGTGCAATAGGTGCGGAATCTAATTGTTAGTAATATTTAATAACGTAGGAAATGATATATAGGGCAGAGCGCTGCTTAAAGATCTGTGGATGAAAAATCTACCAACTAACAAGTAAATTTAGAATGTTTTCAACAATAATATTTTGAAAGTAGAGGAAAAAAGTTGTGTAACCATTATCGCCTTCAATGTGTAACCTTAAATAGATGAACGGTAACATTCTCAAAGTAACAAAAGTATTTTTTTCGTTGTTAGCCTTATTGTTTTTAAGCACAGTTGTTTAGTTTTACGATACTTGAATATAATTTCTAACTATACTTCATTTAATTGTTTTATGAGATTTATGATTATTATTATTTTTAAGTTAGATTTTATAGTTTTATATATAACATCTAGCTTATACATATGTAATTGGGGTAGACAGGTCCACCTTAGCTTTTAAAAAATGCATTTTTAAACGATAAATTAAATTAATAGCTATACCAATTCTGATGATGAATTCTTCTGACAATGTTCCGTATAAAGGTTGTATCTATGACGATCCTTAATAAAATATGTGCTCATAAAATATAGATTTTGAAACAAAAGTTGTACTCACAATATTTGTAATAATTGTATTTCATAATACAATGAGTCTGATTATGATAAATTAAATAGAAATATGTACCAAAGCAAGATTTATGATAGTAGAAGTTGATAATTGCTTATTTTAGTTTAAAAATACATATCAAGATCATGATTTTTAATTTTATTGTTTTACCTAATAATTAAACTGCATTGCATTGATTAAATAATGTAATTATTATTCTATTAAATCTCTTTTAAATTAAAACTGAAAGTGCTGATCTTTTTGCATTCTGCCTGCGCACCAGGACAAGGTGCGACTTTTTTAAAAAATAGCAGGAACAAAAATCTATAATATATTTGGTATCTGTTGCGATGTAATTGGTTTGGTTTTTAGTTTTTATAATATAATTACTTAAAGTCAAAGCAATTGGGGGCAAAACGTCTTCAAAATTAGTTTCAAAATACACACTAGTGGAATTAATTATCGCAACAGCAACTATTACGATTAATAAAATAATCAATTATTGCAATTCGCCCATAATTACAAGTTATCCGTACATAATTATGTACGATTATATCCGATTATATAATTAACTTCCTGTAGGGTAAGTTATAATAATCGCAAAAAATCGAAAAAAAAAATTTTATTTATCTTCACGTTTCAAATGATTTTGAACATTTTGGCACATCTTATAAAAAAACGGATGTATGTGTGTGTGTGTGTATGCATGTGTGGATACAAATTTTTGTCCATGATTTTATGAACACGGATCAACCGATTTAAAAGTTCACAAAATGGTAAATTGATTATTATATGTTTGTGATAGCAGGTTTAGCGGTGGAGATTCAATAAAAAAAGTTTTAAAAAAATGGCATTTGGTCGTCAAAAATGATCATTATACATATGCACGTCAAAATATC